GCCATCCACTGGGCCGATTTGGATGTTCTAACCACCGTTAGATGCGGCTCGACGAGCTCTACAATTTTCAATTAATGGGCATATGTCATTAACTTAGTAAGAAAAAACGTTTTAGATGGGAGCACGCCACGTTTCGACGATGGTGATTTTCATATGTAATTTCCGTCACAGATTTTTATATAGTTGGCCAATCGTATTTCGACGATATCTCACCATCCACTGGGCTGATTTAGATGATCTAATCACCGTTAGATGCGTCTCAATGAGCTCTACAATTTTCAATTAATGAGCATATGTTATTAACTTAGTAAGAAAAAAGTTTTAGATGGCAGACGTCTCATTTTGCCTATTCTCTAGTTCATAGGCGGATTATCAATTAGACAATATTAAAACTAATCATCAGACCTAGAAGCTTTTTTTGAACAAAGCTCTTATACTAGTTCATATATACTCTATTTATTTATTATTTGAATTTTAACCTTCTATTATAACTATATTTAGCTATACTTATATTCTTTGCATCTCTTACTTTTTTGTTACTATACTACTTCTAAATTAGTAACTTTTAGGTTATAGATTCTTTTTTTTTTGGTGTTAAGGTGAAGTCATGCCTCATGTATCTTTATTAATTCTTAAGTTTGTATTCTACTATACAATTTTGTTGCTCATTTATACACCTACTACTGAACTAATTTTCAAATATAAGATTTAGATTATTTTATTCATGATTTAAACCTATTAGAATATTCTGTATTCCATCTTTATATTACCTGGTTTTTGTGCTTTACAACTAACTAATTTCAGCTATCCAACTGTATTTTTCTCATAATTTACAATCAAACCTCAGTAACTTCCAATTTGGTTCATTTGGGTAATTGGTCTTTAAAGGCTTTCTAAATTGATGTGCTTGTCAAGAACCTCTTATATACATATTTCAAGCCAGGTTTCTGCTATCTAGTTAGGTTTGTTATATAAAAAGATGGTATGATATAACAGATTAGAACTTAACTTAGGTTTGTGCCAACTGAGTTACACCAGTTTGCATTCCTTCATTTTCATGAATATATAATCCTTCTACTTATTTGTCCAAGTATTAATAATCTGTATTTTAAGCCAGGAATCTGCTGCTGCCACTGGTTTACTATCTATAGGTTTTTAATTGTCCTTTTTTTAGTCTTTCATGTACTTGTATACTTTTCTATCCCCTTTATACTCTCTTCTATAGTATTTGTTAGAAACTTATTTCAAGATATATCTCTTCTAGCTATTGGCCTTTGTTGTATATATTGTACAACTTTCAATTTAGGATATTTCAACCCTGGTTGGTGCAGTATTTATACTAGTAAATGTTTAACTTTTTTTGTTATAGACTTTAATATAGGTGTAATTAAAGCTCTAATTTGGTATATTTAGATATATAGGAATAGTTTACATCCTCTATATTGAGTAACTTTCTATAGTAGATTGTTCTGCAAAACTAGAGATATTTTCAATTCTAGTTAAAAAATAATTCTTTGTCACAGCCCATAGTTATATATTATTACTTCTCTTATTATTTCAGTTTTGGCTACTATTATATCACTCTTCCAAACAAGTACTTCAAATTGAATGCAAAGATGTTAGTATTGTCTTCAGATCACCTCAATCAGAGGATTAATATATACAATCTTCATGTAATATAACCTTTTGTGATACCACTATCACATATAGTATCTATAATTTATGATCTGGTCTCTTTTCAGAAACTCTTTATTCTGGTTTTGTACTGTACTTGAACTTCTATAGGACTTTATATTTGATTTTATGGTCCTCATAGATTACAGAAACAAATTTTATTAAAATTTAACTCTAGTCTGACTCGAATTGTTAACCTAGTTTATAGAAGTTTGAAAGTTTAACCACTAAGCTATGAGACCTATATCATATTATAGATACTTATTATTTTTTAGTTTAGTATACTTATTATTAGTTTTCTAAGATATTTTAATATATATTTAAAATCTATAGAAGAATTTATATTTCAATCTAGAGACTGCTGACTAGTTTATTTCTATATGACAGAGTTAGTATTATATTGTTAGATAAACCTTCTTATTTAAGGAGCTACCAGAAATCAGCTGATTTAGAGGTGGGTGGGTGGGTCAGCTATGTAATTCTGACTAAATTATCAAGTTTCAGCCAAAATTTAAAATTTTAATTATTAATAACTTTTGATCTACTAAACTAATTTAAATAATTTAATTACAAAAATAATCCTCTTAATAGAAGGATTCTAACAAGCCTAAAGTTACAAAAATCTAATTACTAACTTCTAAGATAATATTAAATTTGTATTACTATAAATATATTTTATTTTAAATTATTTAGTAGTAAGATAAAACTATTCATATTTTAGCTTCAGCAGCAGGGAGGGTGAGCAGACTTTTTTGTGTGTTTTTACACCTTCTCTTCCGCGAGTTTTTTTCGTCAGTCCATTAAAATTGATACTAATTTTTTGGTGTTTTTATACTAAGCAAACATAAATCTCTCATCATTTGACTGACAAAGCAAACATAAATCTCTCGTCATTTGACTGACGAAGCAAACATAAATCTCTCATTAATCACATCGTTATTTGTATAAAACTTCTTTTTCTGACTTCGAGTGATGAAGTCACGAGAAGGTGGGCTTAAAAAATAGTGACTAATTGTGGTGTGTTTTTACACCCTTCAGTCTGCAAGTTTTTAAAGCTAAAAATCGTTAAAATCGGTACTAATTTTTTGGTGTATTTTTATACCTTCTGTTCACAAGTTTTTTCTGACTTCAAGCATATATACGAGGAGGTAGGATTAAGTTTCATTCTGGCTTTGAACAGTATCTGCGAGAAAGCGGAGCTGACGAGAATAAAATTGCAAGACATAAAACCCACCAGCATGATCTTTACATGCTTTGGGTATAGAACTAGTAGGCTTATCACAAACTTTGCAGGGGACGCGTTTTTTAGACCTCTAATGTTTATGGCATCCTTGAGGACGACGACAACTATGACCACAAACTTCACCAGAGTTATGCAAATAATCACAAGTAAATTTTCCAGACATGAGTAAAAGAAATATTTTTTATTTAAACAAAAGATATGAATAAAGTAATATATAATAAAAAATACAAATATTCAAAATGATAGATTATAAAGATATCGAATTAGCTTTAATTGAAGTAATTAAAGTGGCATATAGTCAAGGTACCAAAAAATATGATAAATTAGGGGCATCATATGTAAACTATCTTAAAACTTTACAGCGAAAAAGAGATCCAGAAGATCATGTTAGATATGTAGCAAAGCAACGCGCTCCAAACGAGGAAACCTATAATGGAAGAATAGCAGATTTTAAAGATTGGTACAATGAAGAGATATATACTAGTTTAGAAAAGTTATATAAATTATATTTAGAAATAGCTAATCAAGAAGAAAAAGTAGAAAAGCGAACAAAATTACAAGTAGATGAAATTCTTCAAAAAATTCACGGTTTAGAAATATAATATTGTTTAAGGACCCATTTAGGTGGATATTCAACCTTCTTAACTACTATTAATTGTTCTCTTACAAACGATCTTTTGGGCCCATCATCATTTTCATCTATAAGCCAGTACAATACTGGTTGATTTTTTTGTATTAAGGATTCTTTAATATGATAAACTTTCGGAGACCAATTACAATCAGTCGCACGATGTCTTCCACCTTCTAACTCACCTGGTTCAAGTAAGTATCTTACCAAAATATTATAAGATAATCGAGGTTCATCAAATCCAACAGGACCATTGCGAGGTAAAGAAGGCATAGCACTAACCCATTTCTTTTGAATAGCTTCTGCAGGAGTCATTTTAAGAAGTCGAGTTACAGAATTATTAAGTTCTTTAACAATAATTGGAAGATTCTTCACCCAAACCCTAGACCTTT